GGGTGGGGCCCTGGGTGGGCTGGCTCTGCTGTTATCTGGCCTTACCACAAGGGGTCAGCCTGATTCCTCAGGGGTTGGGGCTCCTTGGCTACTGTGCAAGCAAGGCCTTTCTAAAAGACAGCAGGTAGTGTTATGGTCAGGACAGGCAAGCTGGCTTTCTGGGAGCTAGAAGACAGCCTGTCATCCATCTTGTCTTGTGCTGTGGTGCCATCCTCTTCTCCAACCCTCTCCCTCCAGGATCAAGAGCAAACGCAGCCGAGTTGGCCGGCCAGGCCCTAGGGACCTTAGCGAGAACATGGCTGCCACCCAGGGCCTATCACACATGATCAGCGACTGCAAGAAACTTTTCCAGGTGAGTCAGCCCAGGCCATGGTGCCTGCTTATCAGACCACAAGAATCATCAGGCTTGACCTTTGCACCCCAAGTCAAGAATAGGGCCCAACTGGACTCCCCTCAAACTCCCACTCCCAGCTTTTCTCCCTGAGGTTTTTTATTTGCCTCACTGCCCCGACCATGAACCTGAAAGACCATGGGGTCTCCTGCTCCCTAAGGTCCCAGCCTAGTGTGTGTGTGTTCCTTCTCAGGTGCCCCAGGACATGGTGGTACAACTGTGTGACTCCTACAGTGCAGCTGAGGTCAGCCCTCCTGGGCCAGCTCTGGCTGAGTTGCGACAGGCACAGGCCGCAGGGGTGAGCCCGAGCCTCTACATGGAGGAGAGTGTGCAGGAGCTGCTCCGTGATGCTGCTGAGCGCTTCAAGGGCTGGATGAGTGTGCCAGGGCCCCAGCACACAGAACTGGCTTGCAGGAAGGTGAGTGCTGCATACCCCTGACTTCCACAGGCCTGGGCGAAGGCATGATACAATCAAGGAGGCCAAGGAACCAAGGAAGCATCCATAAGAACTGCTCTGCCAGCCTCACGGGGCCTGGGTTGCATATTTGGAGAATATGGATCTTGAGATCATAACACCTAGTGACATAAATCAGGCGCAGAATGTTAAAAATTGCATGGTTTCTCTACTATGAGAGACTCCAAAATATAAATAATTTGAAGAACAAAATAAAAGAGAAATGGCAGGAAACAGGAAGGTAGACTGTGGACTTGGGAAAGGGTGGGGGAAAGAGGGTAGGGAGGGAGTAAAAATGATCAAGATGCAATGTGTGATATGTAGCATGTGATATGTATGTGTACCAATTCCTCAGTATGAATGTAATTCGTACGTAACGCAAACATAAAAGACTTTAAAAAAAAAAAGGAACCAAATGAGACCAAGGGATCTCTCTCAGGGATTACCGTCCAGGTTTATCTTCAGAAAGCCCCATTCCAGACACAGTGCTACCTTCTCTCCCCGTACCACAGTCAGGCTGAACTCTGCGTTTCTACCTTTGTGCTTCTGCTCCTGCCCCCTTGAATTGCCTGCCGCTAAGTATGGCATTTCCCACGCTACCTTTAGCTTCCATAGCGTAGGCCCCTCTTCCATTCAGCTTCCTGCCATGCTCCAAACTGGATGTGCTTTCTCTCAGTTCCGCTCTTGGCACTGTTCATGTTCTTTCTTGGAGGATTGGGGGCACAGGTTGGGCCTATTTTGGGGCTGTCCAGGGTTAGTGGAGAAGCCCTACAGTTTGAGGCCTCAACTTGGAGGTCTCCAGCCCTGACCACTGCCCTGTCCCCACTGCCATGGCTTGCAGGTACAAGATGGACACCCCTTGCCGATGTGGAAAGCGTCCACAGAAGTGGCAGCCCCACCAGCTGTGGTATTACATCGTGTCCTACGGGAGCGGGCACTTTGGGATGAGGACCTACTGCGGGCCCAGGTGCTGGAGGCCCTGATGCCAGGGGTGGAGCTGTACCACTACGTCACTGACAGCATGGCTCCTCATCCTTGCCGCGACTTTGTGGTGCTCCGGTGAGGGGATGCAGCTGCCACCCTGCTGTGTTAAGGGGGTTCAGAGAGGTGGGGTGGGAGTCAGAACTAGGAATCTGAATGTGTGTTTTCTCCACCACAGGATGTGGCGCTCAGACCTGCCTCGTGGTGGTTGCCTGCTTGTCTCCCAGTCCCTGGATCCTGAGCAGCCTGTGCCAGAGTCAGGGGTGCGGGCCCTCATGCTCACTTCCCAGTACCTCATGGAGCCCTGCGGCCTGGGTCGCTCTCGCCTCACTCACATCTGCCGTGCTGAGCTCAGGTACCAGGCCTGGGATGGCCTGCCTCACCTCCTTGGCCCTGACCCCTCCCTTGCCTCTGCTCCATGCAGACACTGGGGTGGGGGGATCCTTTTCCCTTTCCCTGATGAAGACCCAGGGAAAACCACACCACTCATGCCTGGCTTCTTCTACCTCCCCAGGGGCCGTTCTCCTGACTGGTACAACAAAGTCTTCGGGCACCTGTGTGCCATGGAAGTAGCCAAGATCCGGGACTCTTTCCCCACACTGCAGGCAGCTGGCCCTGAGACAAAGCTGTGAGCCTCAGGCTGACATTCCCCTGGTCCCCTGACACCAAGAGAGTGTGCAGGAATGGGACTAGTGAGGCCTCCAGAGGCTGTTGCCAGGGGGAGAGTCAGGCCCAAGTGGCTCCAGTTGCTTGACCCTCTTACCTTCTAATGCTCCTTTGCACATACAGGGGAAGAGAGAGTTTAGCTATCTCATCTGTACTTCACCTTCATCCTCAGAGAAGCAGAGTCATGTTAGTATCAAAAAAAATCACCACTGCATGCTATCTGCCTGTGAAGCCTCACTCAGTCCAAAGCACCAACAGTCCCCAGTGTGTAGGAGAAAGGAGATAGGGATCAGTTCTCTGCCAGCCTGAGAGGCTGAGCCATCGTGTTTTATGCTAAGGCCCTTTTGAGGTTGGACAGGAGGTTCTGGTCCTGCCTTGGGGGTCAGCATTAGCCTTGAGCTGGCTTTTCCAGAAATGGAACTGAAGTGGATGTGCACAGGGGCAGAACAGAGGGCATTCCCAATCACTGTTTTATTTATATCATTACAATTCCAGTTTTTATAAGGCTGATTTAGAGTGGGCACTGATGAGTCCCTAGTAGGCCATGTGACGATTTGGGTTAGCTTGGGATAGGAGGCAGGGGAACCTTCCTTTCTGAAGTCTCAAGAGACCAATGAACCAGTCTCTATCCACTCTCTAGGGTCCCAGTTAGCCTTTGGCCATGCACTGCCATGTCTGTAGAGTAAATGAGTTCACTCCCACGCCAAGAAAAAGCAGCACATAGTGGAGGAGAGACCTGTATCTGTGCCCTTAACCCTTTTGCCTATGATAGCGGGCTGACATAACATCTCTGGAGCAGAGACCTGGTCCCTGGGCCAGGAAGACAGAAAGGCCCATCTTTCCCAGCCTATCCACTGGCCACCTTTGTTCATGTGGAAATCTAAATGCCATTCAAAGGCCCACTGGTGCTTCACTGTTCTTTCTGCTGAAAAAAAATGGGGTGGGTCCCGGCCACTACTGTAATTTTTAAGCTTGTTTTATTTGTACGTATAAATACTGTACAGTCAGAATATATATGTGTATTTGTATGTGTGCATGTAGATACATATACACATACATATGCACACACATATGTGCACTCTTCTGAATGTATAATAATCTCTGGGTGTGAGCAGGGTCTGGAAGGCCTCGAGGTCGGACACTTTTGATGAGAGCAGAGAAGTGGAGAGCAGGATACAGCTGGATTTCTCACCAGAACAATAAAGCATTACTAGAGATGCATTTGGGTTCTGTGGTTGTCTTTTTGCTGAGCCAATGGGCTGGGGACTAGGGCAAGGGCTTACAACTCAGGCTCAGAGGTAAGAGATGGTGAGCATTCACTTTGCCCTCTTTTGAGTCCTCGCTGACTGCTGCTAGGACTTATGGTGAGGCCAAGGGAGGAATGGGGAGGGCCTCAGCTTTTGCTTGTCTTGGGGAGGTAATTTGCATGAGGAGAGGCAGAATATGGAGAAGCCAATGCTTGTGCATTTCATGATCTGACCAGGTATTTTAGTTACTTTTTTCATTGCCAAGACAAAAACATTCAGCACCCAAAGCTAAAGGAGGAAAGATTTATTTTTGGCTCACGGTTTATAGAGGTTTCAGTTCATAGGCAGGGTGGTATGGCAGAGGGGTATCACAGAGTTCAAGGCAGGGGGAAGGCAGCAAAACCAGCAAGTACCAATTCCCCTCAGCAGCCCTCTTTCTGTCCCTTATATTCTGTCCAGGCTACGTGCCCTTAGGGTAGATAGCACTCACGTGCAGGGCGAGCATTCCCATTATCCACACTCAGAACTATGCCAACCCATCAGTGTGCTGGTTTAGTAGTCACACACCCTTAATGCTAGTATCACACACAGTAGTTCCAGCCTGAAAAGCCCCACCTGTGATTGCATGAGGCTTTGACACAAACCATAACTACAGGGTCTCGGATGCTGTCCACAAATGTGACCTCAGATGTCCCAAACAGTAACCCTGGGGAGAGATGGGTTCGGTCAAGCTCTTCCTTCCCCACCTACACATAGGCCAAGAAAAGGATAAAGACTGGAGGCCCAGCTCCAGAAGGCTTAGGCTTTGTTTTGCAAATAAGCTAACCTAAGAGAGATCTGAGTGTCTTGAGGCAGATCTCTGGTCCACCTCCAGTGACCAGCAATGCCCAAGTAAGAGCCCTCATCTTGGCTTTCCCTAAGGGAGGAGCTTTTTTAAAAAATGTTTTTTATCTTATTGCTGTGACCGTGAAATCCCTACATTTTAAGGAGCAGTTAGTATATACAGTCCCCATGAGGATTTGGATTGCTCCTGCCCCAGTCTCACGTGTTTGGAAGGTAAATGGATCGTGCAAGCACTATATACTCAGTATATATAGTGAATACTATGTACTCATAGCTGGTCAGAAAGCAGGTTACTGGGGGTGTGACCTGGAAGGGTGTGTCTCCTTCCCCGCTTCCTCCCTTCTCTCTGCTTCCTTGGCTGCCTTGGCACGAGTAGCTTTTTCTCTGATATGCCCCTCTGCTGTGCCATTTTATGCCTTGCCACCTGCTGACCATGAATTATAACTGAGTCAAAATCTACTTTTCCTTCTCTGAGGAGGGTATTTGGATATTATGTCTCAGCTATGAGAAAGTGACCAAGACAGGATCCACACTGAGAGATGCATTATTAGATGATGTAAAAGCAACGTAGAGGGTTTTTATACAAACTGAAAGGGCTACGACATCAGTAAGGTATATAACTCCATGGACCACTACTATATAGACCACCCATTGTTGACGGGAATGTAGTACACGACTGTACAAGCTTTGGAATTTGCATTTGTAACCCTTCAGTGCTGCCAGTATCCCAGGAGAGCAAGTCATGCTATCTCTTAGCCTCCTGCTGTCAGTGGTACATCCACCCAGTGTAAACAGATTGGAGTACCTGTCAGTCTCATTCCTCTATCACCCTCCATCATCCTTCTGGGCTCAGTTGTCCCTACATACCTTGACCCTGTGCTCACTGTTGTTGATGGGGGGAAGTGGCTACCCTGCAAGGCAGTGAGGTAGAACAGTGTGGACCAGGTAGCCCTTTACCTTAGGGAAAGCTAAACAGAGGCATGCAAAATACACCTATGGGAAGGAGATTGCATAAGCATTGATGGTCTTGACGGACACAAGTATGTGGATTTGGTTGGTTTCAAAGAAGGCATCAGGGGCCTTCTGACAAAGCACTCTCCCACCCCATCCTAGAAAGAGGCTATAATGAAGCTGGAGCTCAGCAAGCCAATGATGAGTGCTATGAGAATGACCATCCAGGAAGTGATGTCACTCAGAGATAGTTACGAGGGGGCTCCTGGAAGTGCCAGAGGATTTTCCCCAACTGTTCAGCACTGGACTGGATCACCCTGGACCAGCAACCAGGGATCAGGAAGCCCAAGTCAGGCCCCATTACAACAGGAGGGTAGAGGGTGGTGATTAAGAACCTGAGCTCTGGAGATAGTAACTTGGCATCACCATTTTACTCTCTCTCTGCGGCTGTATGTAGTTCATAATTTCAGGTAGCTGCGTAGCTAGTAACTTGGGTTGCCTTACAGCTAGTAACCCAGTTGCCTGCTAGCAAAGCAAGTACGTGTAATTACTCGAGTGGGTGCAAACGTGGGAGCCTCAGCATCACCCAGAGGGCCTGCTACAACATGGATTGCTGGGTCCTCCCCCAAGGTTTCTGACTCCTCTGTATGTCTAGATGGGAGTTGAGAGCTTGCATTTCTGACAAGTTCGAAGGTGAGGGCGATGTCACCGGTTCAGGGACTATACTTCAAAACCCACTAATCTATAAAATGAGGAGGCTGACAATAACAGCACAAGTTTCATCTGGTTGAATTTGAAGCAGATGTTTAAGCTCCCCCTCATTCCTATGCACAGTTGCTGTACAGCAGGGACACAGGGGCTCAAAGTCATTACCCCTTTCTAGCCATGAGACTTACTTCCTTCTGCGAGCCTCAATTTTCCTACCTTTAAGATGGGATGATGCTATCTAACAGGAAGGTTATGAATTGCCACCACTAATTACTCACTAAGTGGAACATCACCTTCGTGCTATTTCTATTGTTAGCTGTGATGCATGTCTTCCTTTGTTGCACAGAGCAGAGACCACTGCTAGGTTTGGGCAAATGAGCCTGAGACACAAGTTTTGCAGGAGAGGAGGTCAGAAAAGTTGCTTATTCTGGAACATCCTCCCTGGCCCCAAGCTGTATCATTCTTTAGTTTTCTCTTCTGGAGAGTCTCCTTCCAACACCTTCCTCTGCTCAAACATCGATGACGGTGTTTTGTTTTAATAAGGCCGCCCACTCTCTTCCTGGAACACTACAGGAAGTTCTTATAGGAGCCAGGCAGGTAGCCAGATAAGCAAAGCATGCTGGTTAAAGACCATGGTGATTGGAGAAGGTGTATCCAATCTAAAAGAGTCAGAAACTATTTATTCCCTTCTGGACAGGTGGAAAGGTGAGCCTAGATCCAGATAGCTACATTTCTATTGTATTTCTGGGGAATTTACAAATCCAGATATTTTTTGTGAAATCTTTCCTTTTTTTTTTTTTTTGGTTTTTTGAGACAGGGTCTCACTATGTATTTGAGACTGACCTGGAACTCACTATGTAGCCCAGGCTGGAGTCGAACTCACAGCGATCCTCCTGCTTCAGCCTCCCAAATGCTGGGATTACAGGTGTGTGCCACCATGCCCGGCTCTTTCCATTTTTAATATTGGCAATTAAATTTAAAAATTTCTAAAGATAAAACACAAAGGCCAAACATGCAAATAAGAGTACCTACTGGTTTGCACCCTCTACTCTAGAACCATGTTTGGAAAAAGATGTGTTGCTCTTCCAAAGACATAACCAGGCATCCTGTCTTTCTTGGGCCAGGCTGTGCATGGGGCTGCACTGGGCAGCCCCACACTCACAGCACAGGCTCCTGATGGCCATGGCATATGGACTGCACTTAGTTACAAAGCAGGAGTGCACATCCCTCATGGAAAGGCTGCCCAGGGAGGTGGCACAGGCAGTAACCCAGACACATGTGAAACAGCAGATTCTCAAAGGAAGAGGGCTGCAAGCACTGCAGCACACAGAAAGTATACAGAAAGCCTTTGTGAGAACTATGTCTCTCTGGTGGAAATAGGGGAAACAACCCATAGCAACCAGGCCATGGTAGATGGCCCTGCTCCTCTGTGTTCCAATGTAGGGCCAGGGAGACAGGAATCTACTGAAACTCAAACCCAGCCTCTGCCCCTGCCTCCAATTCTTCTCGGTATCCCTTGATGTCTGCTCATTGCAGTTCCTTCTGTCCCCTCGGCTCTACTCCAGCTCTTTCCTCTCTCCATCACAGAGCCCTTCAACTTCTGCCTCCTTCCCTCATCCTGCTCATTCTTTGGAGTAAGAAATCCCTCCAAGTGAAGACTCACTGATGTTATCTCTCAGTTGATCAAATGAAGATATTTGCTCAAGGTCACTAGGAGGGAAGAGGCAGTGCTGGTGTGGAACCCATGTCTGTTGAGATCTAATAGTGCTATTTCTCAAAAAAAAATTTTTGCATATTTACTATGTGCCAGGCATTTTTGTAGGATGCTGTAGGTATAGAGAAGTAAAGAAATCAATACAAAGTCCTACCTTTGTGGAGCTAGCATTCTAAAGGGAAGACAAAACATAGAAAGCCAGTGACATAGTATGTTTCAAGGTGATAAGTGCTTTGAAAAAAAAACAGAGCAGGAAAACGGAATAAGAAATTTGAAGGTGGGCAGTTGTGAGTCTTACTTTCATAGGACAATTACTTACCAAAGTTGACGTAAGTGAAGACATGAGCCATATGAAGATAGAGCACATCAGGCCTTGGAGGACCAGGTGTAAAGACCATCACAGAAGACAGTCAGTGCTCCAGTGTGTCTTGATAAAGCTGGCACAGCTCACACAGGCCCACAACACAGGTGATGGTTCTGTGCTCTCCCACCATGACCAGTGTGAAACATGAGAATAGTACTACAAGGGAATTGTCTTTTTTTTTTTTTTTTTTTTTTTTGGTACCGGATCAAACTCGGATCCTTGTGCTTACAGGACAGGTGGCAAAACCACTGAGCTAAATCCCCTGCCCCAAAGAATTGTCTTCTTTTGTTCTAAAATTTGCTATACAAGCCACGTGGTATGCACCTACAATCCCAGCACCCTTGGAGGCTTAGGCAGGAGGATCGCAAATTCAAGCCTAAC